GGGGGGGGGGGGGGGGGGGGGGGGGGGGGGGGGCGGGGGGGGCAGATGGCAATGGAGCCCTAAGGGTGCGGGCCAGGGTGCAATGGAGCAGAAGTGGGCAGGTTGTAGCGGAGCATCGGGAGTTACAGTGGCGTGGAGGGGGAGGCAGGTTGCAATGAAGAAGTGGGGAGGGGCTTCGTTGGGGACAGGATCAGGCAGCGCCCGAGCTCTGGATGGGGGGGGGATTGAACTCGGGCCAGATTGCAGTGGGTGGAGGTGAGACTTGCACTGGGAGTGGGGGAGGGGGCTGTGCTGGGGAGTGGGGGAGGAGGCAGGTTGCAATGAGGGTGTAACTGAGGCGGCAGGACGGATTGCGCGCAAGCATCGGGGGGTTCGCTCCGGATAGGACGCAGGGAGGGGGGGGGGGGGGGTTCCCCGGGGGCTGAGGGTGCAGCCGAGTCCCGGGGGGGTTGCACCGGGGAAGGAGTCGATTGCATCGGGCAGGGGAGGCTCCGGGGCGCTCGCTCTGGCAGGCTCGGGAAGGATGCGCTGGGGACAGCCAGACGCTGGATACAAAGGGAGGGGAGGCTCCGCTGGGGACCCGGCCGTGGCGGGGGGGGGGGAGGAGGAGGCGGCAGCCGGGCTCGCGCCGATCGGGGCGCTGAAGATGCGCCGCTGGTGCAACCGGCCATTGCGCTGGCTGGGGTGGGGAGCTGCATCCTTGGCAGGCGTTGCACTTGGGTACCAGGGAGGAGGCTGCTGCCAAGGAGCTCCTCCCAGCTCCCTGACTGCTACAGGCGATGCTGCTGGGAGAGGTTGCCATGCCTCAGGTCTGTGGAGAAGTCCCACGAGGGAAACCCCTCCTCGCCTCCCCCGCCCCCCAGTCCTGAGGATCTCCCCATTGCTTCTCCCTGCTGCCCCGCTCTCCTCCCTCTCTGCACAGCGAAGCAGCCTCCCCCCTCCAGCAACAGCCCTCCTCCAGCCCAGGATGTGCATAGCCCAGCCTGTCCCCCACGTTCCAGCTTCCACGCACAGGCGCCAGCGCCCGGCTTTGCTCCCCAGCCTGTGGGCATCCTGCCCCCTTCTGTTGACTCGGCGCCTCTTCCCCTGGGCACCAAACATCCTGCTCAGCTTACCTGCTGCCTTGTGAGCTCCGCTGCCCGCCGTGCTCTGGTTGTGTGGACATGTTGCCCCCCATGGCGATGCCTTTCCCGTGTCTAATGCCTCTTATGGCTGGTGGCCTGCCCCTGCTCGGCAGGACTGCACCCTCATAGGGCACCCTGGCTTGTTGCGTGTGTCCCATTGTGTTCCCCGCACCTCCTTGCAGGCTGTGCCTTATGGGCAGAGGTGATGTTAGCCCACTGGAGGCCTTAAACAGGAATATTTTGGGGGTCCTGGCCCCTTTTACCGTTCACCCGCCCCCTAAAAAAATTAATTGCATTATTTCCATGAACCAAAAAATACAGCAGCCCGGCACATGGCCACACACTTGTTTGGTCCGCATTAAAAGAGAGGAACAGTATTTTGGGGGTAATGCTAAATCGGGGCTGCCTGGGGCCCTGAGCAATTGCTTAATCTGCTTAAACCTAGTGCCACCACTGCTCCTGGGTCCCATTGTGGCATCACGTAGCTCATGCCATCATGTGCACAAGTAGGTCTCCTTCTCCTGTGTGATTTTTCTACCCCCTCCCAAGCATGTATTGTCACTGCCACAGACCACAGCTTTCCTTCCGTCACGTAGACACCAAGCCTGGTCTCCATTTCTCCTCTCCCCAGAGGCATTGTAAATGACCTGTACGTTTTGCTGATCAGAGGGTGGCTTCAAAAAATCATGGTACGCGCCCAGGCACCTGAAGTGGGGGGGGTGTGTGTGAGAAAAATCCCTTCTTAGAGGAGATTTTGGGGTGATATTCCTCCCCAATGGGTAGTTTAATAATATGTGGTATCTGGTGTATTTCAAAAGGAGGGGGAATTGTTCCTCTGAAGTACCTTTATAAGCCACAAATGGCTTAGCCGTGTCCAGGAAAAGGGAACGAATCACATAAGAGATGGAGAAATAACCCTGACGTCTCACTTCGGTGTAGATGCTGCTTAACTTGGGGGCTGGAGCAGTAAACGTTTTGAAAAGCATAAACTCTCGATGTGAAACCAAGTCACTTGTTCGCCTTTTAACAGAGGGGCTGCTGCTGTGTGTCCCCTGCCTTTTACCCCTGTAAGCAGCGTCCGAAGAGCCTCGTTTCCTCCGCTCGTTTGGAACGGTCGCCCTCGCTCATCGCCGCTCCGTGTGACTTGTAGGACCCTCCCTAGTTGTATCATTTCTTATCGGCACGCTCGGTGGAAACCGCCACCATCTTTCCTGTTATCTTTTTAGTTACGTTGTGTGGCCACCTCCTAAATCACCATACGGTTCATCGTGCTGCCCGAGGGCTGGGGTGGGAACATGGATCCCTCCCTCCAGCCTTCCTGAAAACTGCTCGCTGGGTGTGTTTGGATTGATTGCATTGTTCCCAAGGGGGCGTCCTGGGTCTCCGTTCAGCTCGGTGGCTGCGTCTCCGGCTCTGGCTTTCCTTTTTTCGTTTGTTCTTGCTGTTTGGTTTCTCATTAAACCACAACTGGGGTTTCTTGCGATTGCACTTTTTACTTTCTCTGTGGTTTGGGTTTCATGTATTTATTTGGCATGGCTTAACTGAACAGGAAAGGGGACATGGCACAGGCTGAGAGGGGCCCCGGCTGAGCTTTGCGCTCTTTGGAATTGGGATTTGGTTATCTCCAGCCCTGAATAAGAGAGCTTAATCTGCTTCCCACTGACCCTTCCCTCTAGGCTGGCTCTGTGGAGATCAGCATTCTCTCCTTCAATCGGAGAAATAACCTACTGTTTGCTTGGTGTATTTTACCTGCTGCTGCACCTGTGCATAGGGTCTGAAAAGCCTCGGCTGGCAAGTTGGTTCATTCAGGCTGGCTGTCCGTGTAGCCAGCCTTCCACTGGATTTCCCTGGTGCTGAGTCGATGTGATTGCCAGACCTTCTAGCGTTTGGGCTTGGGGGGGGTGGTGGTCTTTGATTACCGTATATATTCTACTAAATAGTCAGTTTTATCCAAGCTGCATTCATGTTTCTGCTCCGGATCTGAGAGAGACCCGTGTGTGTGGCTTTTGAGTCATGTTTTTTAATCTCACGGAAATTGGGTGTGACACCAGCATCCCTGGGAGAGGCCTCCGGTTTTAGCCATACACTGTTAAAACACCTGATTGATTTGGGCAGCCCTTTTTGGGGGGGAAATGAGGCAAACGGTCAAATCTCTCCCCTATTAAGCACTTGCTGCTTCAGCCAAGGGGGTTATTAATGGGTTCTGGGAATCCAGGCTCTTTTTATATTCCTGGTTTTTAACAGGTGTGTGATGCTCTGTGTCAGTGCTTGCTCACTGCAAAGGTGTTTGAGATCTCAGATGGCTGTTAATAGAGAGAGAGTCTACAGTCCAATTGGGAGTCAGAAAAGGGGCACAGGCATTTGCATAGGGTCCATTAAAAAAGGTATTGTGCAGTGTGTGTGTGTGTATACACATACACACAAATCCGAGGCAAGTAAGTGCAACTGGTGACGCTCTTCTAGGATTACAGCCACCTGCAAGGTGGGATCTAACAGAATAAAATTAACAAAGGCTCAGAGTTACAGGTGCCCGAAGCCCAGGTTACAAAACCTGGATTTTTACAGTGTCATTTGGTATCGGAAACCCAGATTATAACAGTAGTGCAACTGTGCCTCTCCAAAGGGGTGGGTGGGTGACATACCATTCTGGAGGGAGACAGGCGACTGGTGACAATTACAATATCTCAGAGCCAAGTTGCAGCTTTGTAGTCTGAAGCTGCCCCCCCCACCCCTGGTAACAGGATTTCTACCTGCTGTGTCTAATGGTGCTCTAATCCTATGGAGGATTGGCATAATTAGGTGCAATGTGCAGAAAGGGGGCGGAGGGGGATGAGAAACCGCCTAGGAAAGTGAGGCAGTAGGCAGAGAGATGCTATGGCCTCGACTCGCAGCATCACGGGGAAATCATTGCGTCATCACGGGGAGATGATTCCACCCGTCTTCCCGCTTCACTTACTTCGAAAACTAACTTCTTCTTCTGACAGCAGAACCAATTCCTCTCTAGCTTCTTGTATTGAAGATTTAAGACTCCCCCCCCCCCCCCCGCCTCTCTTCATCAGCAATGCACTGCATGTCAATTGGCACTCCAGTGGCTCCCCTTTGTTTTTAGGTGCGTGGGTGGGGTGGCCGGGTGGGGGGAGCTGCTGGATGCAGCCAGATGATGAGTAAAACGATCTGGAGTTTTGAGGGGACTGAGTGGTAGGATATTGTC